TGCTGTGGCCCTGTGCTGTCCCAGCTGTTAGATATGCTGAAGTCACGGAGCAGTTCAGACACAGGATTAGAGGGACTGAGCTGGGCTGGACCTGGGAGCCTCCTTCCTGAGGACCAGCTTCCATAGTAACAGGAGGTGCTATGGGGATCAGCTTCCATAGTAACAGGAGGTGCTATGGGGATCAGCTTCCATAGTAACAGGAGGTGCTCTGCTGCCAAGGGAAGGAAGAAACCAATACTGCAACCTGAGTGAAAAAAGAAACAAAAAAGAAAGGAAGGACATGACTGCTCCTAGGTACAGTGGAGGTTTATTGTAGGTAAAAGGGAGAGTGTGGGCAGAGCTGGGGACATCTGTGAGAGTCCAGAGTGGACTCACATGTGGGGAGAGAGGTCGGGAGGGTGCCAGGTGCAGCAGCCAGGAGGCCAAAGGTACAAAAAGATGTGGGTAACCAAAATGTCTGGATTATACAGGGAAGAGCCTCTGGGTAAAGTGCAGCCCAGCCCCTGGGCTGGAGAGTTCAGAATAGAGGGCAGGGTGTGGCAGCTACACCCTGTAACAGGTAAGGACTGAGGGATGCTGGGAGAATCTGGCAGGCATTGTCAGCTCTGACACGTTACATAGGCACTGCAACCATTCTCAGCTGTGAAGCCTTGAAGTACAATGACCAGGATGCCCCTAAAGGCGCACTTATATCTTAGCAGTAACAACAGCTGTCTAGCCACACTTTAATCCCAGCACTTGGGAGGCAGAGGCAGGTGGATCTCAGTCGGTTCAAGGCCAGCCTGGTTTACAAAGCAAGTTCCAGGACAGCCCGGAAGGTCACTCAGAGAAACTTATCTTGAAAAAAACAGGAAAACAAAACAAAACAAAACAAATCACAGCTGTCTAATTGGCTTGAAAGCCTGCTTAGCGAGAGGGAAATCACGTCTGGTACCATACACCTAGCTGACTCCAGGTAGCTTGTGACATCACAGATCGCAGAGAGCCTGCTATTACCTCTTTACTAACCTGCATAACTCCTAACTGCATTCGAGGTCTTTATATTTATACCCACACACAAGGGTAGCTCTCCCTCCACACCAAAGCAGCAGATTCCCTCTGTGTGGTAAACAGAAGCCACTACAGAAAACCACAACAGGTCAAAATGCAGAAAGCAACTAGCTGATCCTGGGGTGCATAGACCCAGCCGATAGATCTAAAGCACAACACCCATATCGAGAGAGGATGAAAGATTCTAAGAGTCGGAGGATCAGGAAGTCTGTTGTGTGGTTGTGTATCCTGGGAAACGACAGGGTACACCCACGATCCCTCAGTAATATGGCTGCCTAAGCAAGGCTTGAATAATGACATCAGGAGAAAGACACGCTAATGTGTTAGAGGGAAATCTCACAGGGCCCCCACCTTTAGACAAAGAACTACAGGTAACTAAAGACTCAAAGAGAATTAGTCTTCTCCAGGGACGAGTCCCCTAATTGATTATCCACTACTAAGTGGTCAGCCCGGAAATCATGTACATATGAACAGAGGTAAAGGGACTCTGGTGTCTTCTTTGGGAAATCACCAAAGGGCACTCGGGTGCAGCGGGAGGGATCAGAGGACCCGGGACCAAGGATTAGGAGGGCACAGTCGCTTCCTCAGAGAACTCGGCAGCAGTCGTGGTCATGGGCCCACGGAGGTAAAGGCGAAGACAAGGAGGGATCCCTGTCACCAAGCTTGGCCACCTGGCTAAGGTCACGAAGATCTATCTACCTGTTCTCCCTGCTCATCAAGGAATCTGAGATTATTGAGTTTTCCTGGGCACATCCCTAGAGAAGGAGGGTTTAAAGCTCACACCAGTACAGAAGCAGACTCAGGCTGGTCAGAGGTCCAGGTTCAAGGCTTCTGTTGCTTTCAAGGACTACAATGATCATGCAGGTTTTGTGCTCCAAGGAGATAGCACGGCCATTAGAGAGGCCATCATCCTGGCCAACCTTTCCATTGTCCCTGTGTGGAGAGACCACTTGGGGGAACAAGACTGGCAAGCCACACAAAGTGACAGGCCACAATGGCTCTGTGTTGGTGCTTCTCACTCCGTCCCCAGAGGCACTGGCAGTCTCTGGTTCTGTGCCCCAGAAGCTGCTAATGATGGCTGGTATTGATGACTACTGCACATCAGCCAGGGGTGGCACTGGCACCCTGGGCAACTTTGCCAGGGTCACCTTTGATACCATCTCCAAGATGTACAGCTACTTGACCCCTGACCTCTGGATAGAGATTGTGTTCACCAAGTCTCCTTATCAGGAATTCACTGACCATCTTGTGAAAACCCACACCAGAGCTTCTGCTCAGAGGACCCAGGCTCCAGCTGTGGCCACCACATAAGGGTTTTCATACAAGAAAAATGAAGTGAATTAAGCCTGTTAAAAAAAAAATGACCAAGCAGCGGGGGCACACACCTCAAATCCAAACACTCGAAGCAGAGGAAGGTTGATCTCTATGAGCTCAAGGTCAGCCCGGTCCACAGAGGGAGTTCTAGGACAGCCAAGGCTACACAAAGAAACCCTGTCTCAAAAAAAAGAAAACAAAAAGAGCCAGGCAGTGATAACACACTCATTTAATCCTAGCACTCGGGAGGCAGAGGCAGGGGAATCTCTGTGAGTTTGAGGCCCTCGTGGACTATAGAGCAAATCCCAGGACAGGCTCCAAAGCTACAAATATAAAATAATCTCAAAATAAAAAAAAGGAGGAGGAGGAGGAAGAGGAGGAGGAGGAGGAGGAGGAGGAGGAGGAGGAGGAGGAGGAGGAGGAGGAGAAGAAGAAGAAGAAGAAGAAGAAGAAGAAGAAGAAGAAGAAGAAGAAGAAGAAGAAGAAGAAGAAGAAGAAGAAAAGCGAACCCAGTGGGTTGTAACAATAAGTAAAGAAAGAGACCATGAAATTGAGAAGAGATAGATGGATATGTGAGGTACTGAAAGGGAGAGAGGAAGGAGGAAAATGATGTAATGAGACTTTTTACAACAGTTTCTAGATTAATCTTACGTGTTTAGGCTGTATGCATGTATGTACACCACATACGTGCCTGTTGGGATTCCATAAACTGGGCTTACCAATGATTGTGGGCCACCATGTAGGTCCTGGGAATTGAATCTGGGTCTTCTGTTAAGACCGGCAAGTGCTCTTAACAGGCCCCTGTACTTTAATTTGGGGAAAAAAATGAGGCCAGCTCCAGAACACCTGAGGTGTTCTGTTAAAAAGTGTGTGCACATGAGTGTACACACACACACACACACACACACACACAACACTAGCCCAAATTCCAAGTAGTCAAGAGATTGAAACAGGAAGGTTGTAAGTTCAAGGCCAGCCTGGGCTATGTAGCCAGATCATAGTCTCCCCAAAAAGAAAAAACAAGAAAATCAGTGACAGTGTCCTTCCAGTGAAAGGCTTTGGATTTGATTTCTGATGCCACAATCTTGAGGCAGAGGGGACTAGCTCAATAGAGGAAGGGGAACATCAGAAACTAGACAGTCTCTTCCTGTTTCAGTTAACAGAGCTAGAAGGCTAAGAAGTCCTTAAAGGTAATTAGTTCCCTGATGACGGGGAGCAGGGCAGGACCAAGGTGAGTCAGTGCCTGTGACCCAGCCAGCAGGAATGCTGAGAGCTCTTTGAGAACAGTATACGCTTTTAAGCACTGAGCCATCTCTCCACCTCGTTTGGGCTCTCTGAAGGAGAATCTTGAAGCAAGGTCTAGGTAATCCCTAGACTTCGCTCCTCAAGCCTCCGCCTCTTAAGTGACTAGACTGGCAAGGTTCCTGCTTTGGAAGGGTGTTGCTGGGGATCCCTGGGCAGCCTCACCTGACTTCGCGTAACCAGGCCATAGCAGACAATAGGTCCAGCCCTGAATGAAGAATGGCCACTCTGTTCAAGCCTGTCACTGTGCGGCAGCTTTGTCAGGGCCTGTCTGGAGACAGAGCTTCCAGCTGCGCCCTGGCATACCTAGCACAGAGCTGATTCATCCCTAGTGACGGACGGTGGTAGTACACCCATCATCACCCGCTGACTGCAAGTAGCAGAGCAGTGCCAGGATCTGCTGAGGCGGAGGACCAGGGACTCCTCTACCTTGAGTTTTGGAGACTGTGAGGTCATTTGGATGGCGAGGATCTGGCTTCAGTAGACAGCTCTCACAGTGCCCTGGTACTTCCCACTCAGGATAAGGTAGGTGGTGAGCTTCCTGGGACTGCCCCATCTCATTGTCTCAGAGTGTGACCCTGGCACAGAGCTGTCCGAGGGAGGCTGTGGAGCCAGGTTTTGACGTGTTAGAGCTGTTTAGATGCTTTCTGCTGTGGCAAGAGCTCTGACAGACTGCCTAGCCCCACCCATCCCACTCACCTGTAACTCCTGTAAGATCCTAAGTTCAAAGACAGCCTAGGCTTTGTAGCTATACCTTAGCAAAAGAAGGAAAGAAACAGAAAAGAAAAAGGAAAGGAAGGAAAAAAGAGAGAAAAGAAAAGAACAACACAAGACGGGTGGTGGTGGTGGCACAGGCCTTTGATCCCAGCACTTGGGAGGCAGAGGCAGGCGGATCTCAGTGAGTTGGAAGCCAGTGTGATCTATAGAGCGAGTTCCAGGACAGCTATGGCTACACAGAGAAACCCTGTCTGGAAATAAAACAAAATTTAAATCTTTAAAAATAATGGAAAATTTCATCCTCAAAGAATTCCCGTGTCCCCTATCTGCGGCAGTTCCCCAGTCCCTAGCAACTGCTGATCTACTCACATACTTCAGTGTTTTCTGGAAGGTCATAGAAAAAAGCAGCACACAGCCCTTTGAGCCCGGCTTCTTTCACTGACACAAGCCTGTGAAGTGCGCTGGCACTGTTTCCTGTATTCACGGCTCTTTTCTTTTTATGGCTGGATCACGTTCCATTGTACGCATGGATCACTTGTACAGCCACTAAACCACTGAAGGACGTTCAAGTTCCAGTTGCTAACTATCCAGAAAGCCTCAGGAAAAATCAAACACCGTTTGTTACACAAACTTAAGTTTATTCAACTTTTTAAAATTATACTTACTGGGATGGAAAGATGGCTCAGCCTTTAAAGGCAAGGCTCACAACCAAAAGTGTAAAATTACACTTCCTTTGTGTGCACGTGGGAGAGGTACACACGTCACAGTTTGCATGGGGATGAGAGAACAACTTCAGGGACCCAGTTCTTTTCTTCTGCCACGTGAGTTCCGACGATCAGATGCAGGTCCTCTGCCTTGCTGGCAAGACTCCTTCCGGCTGTCTGTTCTGCCGTCTTTGGACACTGAGCATCTGTTTTGTGTCTTCCTTGGCTTCTTTTTTCTGACGCAGTATCTTGTAATGTATCCAGGCTGCCCTGGAATTAGACATCCTCCTGTTTCAGCCTCTTTGGTGCTAGAATCAAAGCTATGTGCCACCACAGCCCATTTGGACATAACTCTTTATCGCAGACTTGCACCTAGCAATGGTGGTGCTGGTTAATGGAGCTGCCATGTTTTTCAACAGGTAAGGAGTTGAAAAGAGCAATAGTAAATTTTGTTTTGCATTTGTTTTAAGAGACAGGGTTTCTTTGCGTAGTTCTGGCTATCCTAGACCAGAGAGGCCTCAAACTCACAGAGATCCACCTGCCTCTGCCTCCAGAGTGATGGGATTATAGGTGCGTACCACCACCACCTAGCAATAGCAAAATTCTTTAATGCTTTATCAACATTTGAGCCACATCACACACCAGTGCCCCGTGTAAGGGCTCAGTCCAGCAAGCTCTTCCAGGCTTTACTCTGTGTGTGGCCTGGGCAGCTCTGAGATGGTAAATTAACGTTTCTATGCATCTATGTGCTGCCTGCCCCCAGGCTCATTTACCTCCTCTGCGCACTTCCCATCCTGTGCGCTGAGTCTCAAGGAATCTCTTTGTGACTCCCGAGACTTTGTCCCTCCTCTTCTCAGCCTCTTCTCAGCGTTCTCTCTGCCCCCCAAATCCTGCCTAACCATCAGCCAATCAGCTTATTAATAACGAGAGCAATGCATCTTCACAGTGTGCACAAGTATTATTCCAGGGGCTGGAGAGATGGCTCAGTGGTTAAGAGCATTGCCTGCTCTTCCAAAGGTCCTGAGTTCAATTCCCAGCAACCCACATGGTGGAACACAACCATCTGTAATGAGGTCTGGTGCCCTCTTCTGGACTACAGGCATACATGCAGACAGAATATTGTATACATAATAAAATAAATTTAAAAAATTAAAAAAAAAAAGGATTATTCCACAGCACATTTGACTCCGCCTTCCCTGAGCCAGTATAGACCTACTCCCAGGATGCAGGCCTTGACTTTAGACAGCTCAGTCCAAACATACTGTTTTGCTCCTGGCTAAGGGTCTGAGGCTGGTGAGGCTGAGCACACTTTTAACCCCAGTATTCAGGGGCAGGCAGAGCTTGAGTTCCAGGCCAGCTAAGGCTACATGGCAAGAAGTGTCAAAAAAAAAACAAAAAAAAAATATTTTGTGTCTAGGGGTCAGCAAGACAGTTCAGCAGATAAAGGCCCATGCTGCCAAGCCTTAAAGTCTAAATCCAATCTCTGGGACATACATGTTGGAAGGAACTGACTCCCAGAAGCTGTTCTCTGACCTCCACATGGGCACCAAACCAGGTTCACACACAGTAAATGCAAACACAACTTCATGTATGTGTACATTTGCTGAACACAGAGGAGGAGGGCAGGTTATAGGATGCACAGGTTTAAGTGAGTACAGGAAGGCCCGAGGACTGAGGGAGCCACTCCTCAGGAGCAGTCCACCTTGGTTTTGTTTGTTTATTTGTTTAACAGCCTTGGCTGTCCTTGAACTTGCACTGAGACCCTTCAGCCCCAGCTGAAGGCAGTGTTTGTTTGTTTTCCACACCTGTTTTTAAGCCACTGGACCTTCCTGCTAGCGTGGTGGTGCTTGCCAGCTCTGCAGTTAGGAGATCTGCAGTTAGGGACAATCACAAGTTCAAGGCCAGTCTGGGGTACTGAGCTAGAGGTTCAGACCTTGCTTAAAAAACAGTAGCAGGCCTTTAATCCCAGCACTAGGGAGGCGAGGCTCTTGTGAGTTTGAGACCAGTCTGGTCTACAAGAGCTAGTTCCAGGACAGGCTCCAAAACCAGAGAAACCCTGTCTCGAAAAAAAACAAAAAAAAAGTAGCAATCACAATAGTAACTAAAATACCCCTCGTGACTCTGCCCATCACTACTTAAAGAGTGGGACATTTCCAACCTTGAGGTTGTCCCCAAACAAACATTTCCTTTGCACAATAGGGCAGACAAGATTGAACTCTCCCAGATAGCAAAAAACCTTAATGAAACCCAGACAAGCCCACAAGAGGTACCCCTGCACGTCTCCATTAAAGCCATACTCGAAATTTGAAGAGTCCCTCATGCTGGGTGCTTTCCCGCTAGGACCGCTCCTCCTGTTCCTCATGCACGCCTATTTCCACTCATCTATTCTGAGGCAAGGTCTCACTCTGGAGGCCAGGCAGACCCCACACAGGGCTCCTCCTGTGGCAGCTTCCTGGAGCTGGAATTAAAACAAGGTGCCACTGTACCAGACCTCTTGTTATTTCTCTCCAAGTGATTGGTTCAGGACACCCTCTGCTGAGCTAGTGGGTTCCCTAGTCCCCAGTCTCTTGGCGTCGGAGGCTCAACTGTGTTTTAGGTAGAGTCCTTTTCAGTTCTCTTGGGGTCAGTGTGGCGAGGAAAACCGGAACACACACACCCTGATCAACAACCATCAAGGGAAGGCTAGGGTCATCTTTCTCAGGGGTCTCAGGCTGCGCAGGGCAACAATCAACAGAGCCTCTTATGCTGCCAGGTGCCAGAGAGGAGGCGTCAGCGTCGTCCACTAAACAAGATCGGCCATTCCTTTGTCCTTGGTCTGTCTGTCTTGAGGACTTTCACTGATGCCAAATGAAGTCAGCTTCCCACATACAGCGGCCCTTCCCATTTTACGGGTGAGGCCAGATTGGTTACTTAACCAGCCCAAGGTCACACAGGAAATGCTGCGAACTGAAAGGAGACCTACTCTCTGGCTGCAATAAAGTCATGCTTTCGTGAGCCGGGAGCTGGTGGCACACGCCTTTAATCCCTGCACTAGGGAGGCAGAGGCAGGCGGACTCTGGGAGTTCGAGGCCAGTCTGGTCTACAAGAGCTAGTTCCGGGATAGGCACCAAAGCTACAGAGAAACCCTGTCTCGAAAAACCAAAGTCATGCTTTCATGCTCTGACTTCCAAGCTCCTCTGCCTGCAGTAACTACCACCGACTACTCCAGCTTCTCTAAACCTGGCAGTTTCAGAAGCTCCTTCCCCTTCCGCACTTGGCTGTATCCTTGACTTCCATCATCCCAGGTTTAAGAAACCTACAGATTCAAGTAACAGAGGTATTCTGTTCCCCCAAAGCGGAAAAGCACCCACGTCAAACACCTGAAATAGTTAGGAAGCACCTAGTGGATCTTGAAAGAGATGCAAACCCACAAAGCAAGATCCAACCTCTGCCTGGTGGTAAATTTACAGCAAAGGAAGTGACATTTACCACGGACGCCAAGAACCCAGATAATCCCAAGAGGAATCAGCAGGAAGAAAAGCCTGAGTGGCAGCCGGACTGGGGCGATCCCTCGCCAGACCGGCCTCACCTCGCTTTACAGTAACGGCCTGGACGGAGCCAGCGGCAGAAGAGGGCGGGGTGCGTGCTTGGAGGTTCGGGTCAGGTAGCTACAAGTCACCGGGCGGGACCGCCCTGCTCCGCACCTAGAGCGAGGGTGCGGCCGCCCGGAGCGACCGGCCTCCGTAGCCCCGCCCCTTCCCTCGCGCCGTCACCGGTGCGCAGTGAGAGCGGGCCGCGATTGGCTGTCTCCACCGCGGAGGCGGGACCTCAGGCGCGGGCGGGCGCGCGCACCCCGGGGAGGTGTTAACCAGGGTAGAGCGGGGAGGGGCGTGGCCCCGCGCGGAAGGCCGTTGGCAGCCGGGTCCCACCCCGGATGTGCAACGTCACGAAGCGGGCAGCAGCGATTGGCCGGAGTGGCGCAGCGCGCCGGGAGGGGCGGAAGGTTCTGGAGGGCTGGCGGGATCTGGAAGCTTCCGCCGGACGGGTATATAGAGTCCGGGACGGGGCAGCTGCGGAGCCGGAGGCGGCGACAGCTGGGCGGCGGTGGCCATGGGCAAGGACTATTACCAGACGCTGGGCTTGGCCCGCGGCGCGTCCGACGACGAGATCAAGCGAGCCTACCGCCGCCAGGCGCTGCGCTACCACCCCGACAAGAACAAGGAGCCCGGCGCCGAGGAGAAGTTCAAGGAGATCGCCGAGGCCTACGACGTGCTCAGCGACCCGCGCAAGCGCGAGATTTTCGACCGCTACGGAGAGGAAGGTACGCATGCACGCGGCCGGGGGTGACCCGCCGTTTGACAGGCGGGGAAACCGAGGCACCCGGGTCCTCGCAGAGGCCTCGGCCCGGCGATCCGGCGGCCGTACTGTCTCCGCCCTCTGATCGGCGGCCTCAGCCGGGAGGAGGAGCTTTGGGCGCGCCGCTCGCACAGAAGCTTCTAGCACGTCTGCCGCAGCCCCTCCCGGCCGGGCCGCCCGCACAGGGCCGGAACGCTGCAGACGAAGGGCGGCGATCGCCAGGGTATGAGAATCTGAAAATTGCCCGAGTGTTTTGTTTCCCTCGCCCCGGTAGCCCGCAAGCTCAGTGCTTAACCCAGAGTTGAGTCTTTTCCGGTTGCAGTGCGTAGGAACTTGTCTGTAGGTGTTACAGCGTGACTGGGAGGATGGGGCAGTCAGGTAGACGTGGTGGCACCGACAATTGGAGGCCTTACTGCCGAATTGTCACGGAGAAAAAGGGAGTGATGTTTCCTGCTCCTGCTGCCATTAGCAGTTAAAGACTTGACACTGGCTTTTACCTAGCTGGAACAAGCTTTAAGATATATATATTTCCCCTTCCACTACGGTTACCGGGGCTTTTTAAAAAAAAAAAATACTAAAAGCAAAACTTGTTGAGCCTGGTGTGGGAGCTCACACCCCTACTACTTTGGAGACTGAAGCATTTTGTGAATTTGCCGCAGATCTGGGCCACAAAATGAACTACTGTTTCCAAAAGAACAGTGACATTCCCAGCTCTGGGGACAGGCTGAGTCAGAAGGATTGCCTAAGGCTAACCTGGACTACTCAGCAAGTTCAAGTGCTGTAGCATGACAGTCACAAGATCTCACTGTTCAGGCTTTTATTTATTTTTAATTTATTTTTACTTCTGACAGAGTGTTTGCATATATGTATGCACATGCTTCAAGAGAAGAGGGTGTTGAATCCCCTGGAACTGGAGTTATTCGGCTGTCTGCTGCCATGTGGGAGTTGTAACCAAACATGGTTCCTCTGCCAGGGGAGCAAGTGCTCTTAATTTCTGAGCCATCTCCAGCTTCTCATGTTGGAGCCCTGGCTGGTCTTCAACTTGCAGAGACCAACCTGCTTCTGTCTTCAGAGTTCTGGGTGGGGTTCAGGCATTCAGCACCATGCCAAGCTTTTTATTTTAAGGGTTTGTTTTGCTGGGGGTTTTGTTTGTTTGTTTGTTTGTTTGCTTTTCGAGACAGGGTTTCCCAGGAGCTATGGAACTTGCTCTGTACGTAGCCCAAGCTGGCATTGAGAGACCAACCTGCCTCTGCCTCCCAAGTGCTGGCGTTAAAGGCGTGTGCCACCACTGCCGGACTATTTTAAGGGTTTTATGTTTTGTAAATGTGTTGATTTATTGCAGTGCTGGAAATGGAAAGCAAAGGCCTTGACTCTTCTACAGTAACTCTGACTTGTGATTTTGTTTTCCAGGCCTAAAGGGTGGTGGCCCCAGTGTTGGTAACAGCGGTGGTGCTAATGGTACCTCTTTCAGCTACACATTCCATGGAGACCCTCATGCCATGTTTGCTGAGTTCTTCGGTGGCAGAAACCCCTTTGATACCTTTTTCGGGCAGCGCAACGGGGAGGAAGGCATGGACATCGATGATCCGTTCTCTGCCTTTCCCATGGGTATGGGTGGCTTCACCAATGTGAACTTTGGACGCACCCGCCCTGCCCAAGAGCCCTCCCGAAAGAAGCAAGATCCCCCAGTCACCCATGACCTCCGGGTCTCCCTTGAAGAGATCTACAGCGGCTGTACCAAGAAAATGAAAATCTCCCACAAGCGACTGAACCCTGATGGAAAGAGCATTCGAAATGAAGATAAGATCCTGACCATCGAAGTGAAGAGGGGCTGGAAAGAAGGGACCAAAATCACATTTCCCAAGGAAGGGGACCAGACCTCCAACAACATTCCAGCTGACATTGTCTTTGTTTTAAAGGACAAGCCACACAATATCTTCAAGAGAGATGGTTCCGATGTCATCTATCCAGCCAGGATTAGCCTTCGGGAGGTAAGGTACCAGGTGGGAGGAATCGTGAGAGGTGACTACTGGGGGGAGCAGTGGGGAGGCTGGCTGAGGCTCTTCTGTGCCAACGGCATGGGTAGATGTGGAGTGGGTGCTCAGCTGCATGGTCTGGTGGCCTGGAGGAGTCAAGCGTCCTAAGCCAGCTCCCATTTGACACGGTCCTTTTGCATCCCTAGGCTCTCTGTGGTTGCACTGTGAACGTTCCCACTCTGGACGGCAGGACCATCCCTGTTGTATTCAAAGACGTCATCAGGCCTGGAATGCGGCGGAAAGTTCCTGGAGAAGGCCTGCCTCTCCCCAAAACACCTGAAAAACGTGGGGACCTTGTTATCGAGTTTGAAGTCATCTTCCCAGAAAGGATTCCCCTGACATCCAGAACCGTCCTGGAGCAGGCTCTTCCCATCTAGCCGCCTGCACTCCCCCGAGGACTGAGCAGGGACTTTTCCAGAACTGCAGATTTCCAGACCGTTCACTGGTTGCATACTGCGGGAGGGCCCAGGGAGGGCTTCTGCTCTGCCGAATGTTTTCCACAGAATATATTACAATCTTTCAAAGTCGCGCACTAGACTACAGTGATTTTTTGAGCAATAGGCAGGCGGTGGGAACAGCAGCCCTCCTGGAATGGAGCCACCCTCTGCACCCCAGCTCCTGCCCGAGGGTATAAGGCAGGCCTGCGACTGGACTCACCCCTCTGCTGTCCTTTAGTTTCTGGCTGCCATCTCGGGTGCCAGACCCTGTGCACTGGTCAGTCTCCACTGTGTGAGAGGTTCTTGTTTTCGTCTGTATTTGTCCCAAGCCTTGTTTCTCCCCAGAAGAATCCCGTCTTGTCTTGGCCATCTCAAATTGAGAGCAATTAAATAGGACTGCCAGGCCAGCATCACAAGCAATACCTGGTGACAGGGCCAGCCTCAGGTGGGCAAGTCTCACTGCCACCTCCTCCAGGTTTGAGACTTGAACGACCAGGAAATTCCTGGACTTCTGGCTCTGTTGAAGTCAGCTGGTTGGCTTATGTCACGGTGTTTGTCGGCCCAAAGGTAGTCCTTGGCCATACCTGGGACTTCAGAGACCCAGGTGATTTTTTTTTTGTGTGTGTAATGGACTCTGAACTCTCAAAAGGATACATTCCTTTTGAATTTTGCACAGCCCAAAATATAATCCCTTTATATAAAAGGGTCTTTGCTTCTGATGAAAGGAGCACTGTGGAACGTCTGTAAATATGTTTTTATAATTCCATTCGAAGCTGGTGTGCACTCAGATGAACGCAGTCCCTGTCAACTACTGCTGTCCAGGGCTGTGATGGAAGCAGACCTGGGAGTGAAGGTGTCTGTTCTTTGAAGCTAGCCCGGTGCTCTGACATTTGACTCATTGTAAGTTGCCACTACGAACACGAGACCAAAGTGTGTGACTTGTCATTATGCAGTGTGACAGCATTAAAGACTGATGCTAAACCTCAGGGGAGCAGTCCTTCGACTCTGTTTGAGGGCTTTGCTGGGGGGAGGGCGGCATGGTGAGAGTTTCCCTTCCTGGGACACATAGGCTTCCCCATTCTGAACCCCAGCATCACTGTGGTGAAGGCTGGGCTAGGACAGGCCTTCCCCGAACACCCTTTCTGCCTTGCAAGGCTCCTGGCCACATCTGGGGACCTAGTAACCAACCACCAGGGCTAAGGATTAAAATACCATCTGCCCGAATCCCCACTGCCAACTAGGTAGACCTAGCTAGACCAGAGCTAGGAGGCTAGGCTAGCTGCTTAGAGCTGGCCCAGGGTCTGTTCTGCCCTGGGGAAAAGTGAGAAACACACTCCCTACCCTAATGCTCTTGTGGATATGCTAGGAACTTAGATTGCTTTAGAGAGCTGTTGATTATAAGGCGAATAGGACCTAGGTTTAAGGGATGTCCTGGGTCTGTGTTCTGGTGGTGCTGGTAACGGAATCCAGGCTTTTATTCTCTAAGCTGAATACAGCCATAGACCAGGCTGCAAACTGCTCAGAAGTAAGACTCATTAAAAAAAATTGACATTGCATAAAAAGTCCATCCAAGAGCCAGGTGTAGCCAGGCAGTGGTGGGCGGTGGCGCAAGCCTTTAATCCCAGCACTCAAGAGGCTCTGTGAGTTCAAGGCCAGCCTGGTCCAGTCTACAAGAGCTAGTTCCAGGACAGGAACCAAAAAAGCTACTGGAGAAATCCTGTCTGGAAAAATCCAAAAAAAAAAAAAAAGCCAGGTGTAGTGGCACACAATCTGTAACAGCTCTGAGAGGACTGAGCCAGCGTGGGTTACAAAGAGTTGGGAGTGTGGCTAGGCCATGATAAGAGTATTGGTCCAGCCTATGCAAATTTACATAGGAGTGGCTCTTCCTCAACACCAAGACAGCTTAGCCCAACTCAGAAGCCAGAGAGAATCCCAGAATATCTTTATTGTGAGTACCAATTGCCTGGTTCTCACCAGGTACTCAGCTACTACAAGCCCATGGCTGCAGACCGTCCAAGAATGACACCCGGAGACCTTCCTGTGGTCAGCTTCTGCAGCAAGTCCCTGT